CTTTTATACACTGAAAGGGTTACATACCCGGGGGCACCAAGGAAGTCACATCTCTGGTCTAGTTCGTAGCCCCGAAATCGATTATGTGGAGAATACTTTCCAAAGTTGATTTAGACTTTGATTATTTCTTCATACTTTTCTATAATGAGATTGTTACATAAAAACCTGTTTATGAGTATACTTGGTCGACGAACGCTGACAGTATGACATAAGTCTCGCTGTCAAACCCTTTTTCATAATCGATGAAGATTAGGGAGATAGGCATACTCTTGGTAAACTTCGCTGATTCTCAAGACCATCTGGATGTGATCCGCGCAGCTAGTTCCTTTGCAAAATCCAGCTTGTTTCACAAGTTGGGCTTCATCCAGTGCCCTTGATAAGCGAGTGAGCATGATCTTCGTGAAGAGTGTCTCAGTTATCATGACAACCGTCCAAGTCTGGTTCTTAACTGGATTCAAATGGACTACGAGAGCTAGTGGAGGCGGTATAGTGATCCAGTTAAGTGCCAATAAATGATTTTGCAGTGTGATGGGGCATTAGTGGAAAAACATTCCAAATTTTTGTTATTTAGGTATTTGTTGAGTAGGAAACTGCCCAATAAATACCTAACTAGCAAAAAGACTAAAGATTAACGCTTTTCTGCTTTCCTTGTAATTAATCTCCAACGAAGAATTTGATAAGTATAAACCTGTTTGAAGCAAATTCTATGTGTAAAGTGTTATAGACAACAATGGTATACATCACTGATGAGGTTTGGTTTACTTAATAAAGTTTTGGAATTAAACACTTAAATTTGAATAAACCTTCTTTTCAGATCGATTTCTTCGCTTGGCGGAGGCATTGTAAGCCCTGTATGATCTTGTATGCAAACCATTCGACAGTTTTATTTAACTTCCTGTATTTAGCCCGCTATTATATTATATCAACGTATAAATTAGCTATGACAAGGTATTATGCTCATTTTCAAGATAAGTAATGTTACTGCTGTTACTGTCTTTTACGATTTTGGCCTCCCATTCCTTGACCCTCCACCAACTGCCGGACCCTAACCTCTCTGTTGCTTAAGTCCATAACGCTTTACCCTTCTTGTAATAAATGTTGTGATCAAAAAAAGGTATTTAAAATTTCTTTTGATAATAACACCTTCCATGCTCGAGTCTTAAAGCATGAAATTACTTTTTTTGCGCTTTTCTTGAATGTCACGCACCCAATTGCATCCAAAAATTTTAATTCTGAGCACA